GTGTATGTGTATGTATGTGTGTGTGTGTGTGTGTGTGTGTGTGTGTGTGTGTGTGTGTGTGTGTGTGTGTGTGTGTGTGTGTGTGTGTGTGTGTGTGTGTGTGTGTGTGTGTGTGTGTGTGTGTGTGTGTGTGTGTGTGTGTGTGTGTGTGTGTGTGTGTGTGTGTGTGTGTGTGTGTGTGTGTGTGTATATTTGTGCCACGGTGTGTGTGTGTGTATGTGTGTGTGTGTGTGTGTGTCTGTGTGTGTGTGTGTGTGTGTGCCACAGTGTGTATGTGTGTGTGTATGTGTGTGTCGCGGTGCCACGATGTGTATGTGTGTGTGTGTGTGTGTGTGTGTGTGTGTGTGTGTGTGTGTGTGTGTGTGTGCCCCCGCACGAGTGTAACTTTTCAATCATTGTACTTTTTTACAGTGGTGATTTCCTAAATGAAACATTGGCTTCTTTAAACAGCTCTATCTTAAGTGAACACAAAAAGACATGGACAAAGTAAAGCCGGCTGCCCGGCAGCTGTATTTTGTCATGAAGAATTAGAAGAAGAGTGGAGCCTCCGTTCAATGAACCTGTAGCAGGCATGCACAGGACAGTCCGCTCTGCACTGACCTGAAAAAGATTTGCAGATGCTCTAATATATCTTCCTGTCTGCTGTAATTACCGTGAATACAGATATAGTGTACATGTAATGTTAGCTGAACCTCCTGTTCATCAGTTATCTTGTCCATCATGCCTTATTCATTATAGGAAATTTGATACATCCTTGGTTTATTTTCAGGTTCGAGCTCCTTTTTCCTCTATTTTTCTCTTTCTTTTTCCCTTCTACCCACCCACCTGTCTGAGATGTCTGTTGCCATGCCGGAAGGATGATGGCAGATATAACTATGAAGAGAGGAGACAAGAAAAGGCTCAGTCTGATTTAATGTTTTGTTTCTTACTTTGATGCAGTGATATGTGACGGTGGCTGTGTATATGTGATATTCCCACTGAATCAAAACCATTTGTACAATGATTGCGTCAAATTTTTAAATTGTAGGAACCTTGTTTTTTTCGGCCTGCCTTGTTTTTATTCGCCCTCTCGCATTAGATTTGGAGTCTGGAGGATGTCATCCATAAAATTTACCTGTTTTCGCCTTGCGTCGTGTTGTGCACGACAAGTGAATTCTTCTGATAACAACACCAGGCGAAGTTGGTTACGCAGTAAATTATTACCTTCGCCAAGAAGGTTATGTTTTCAGGGGCGTTCGTGTATGTGTGTGTTTGTGTGTGTGTGTGTGTGTCTGTCTGTAAACACGATAACTTGAGAAGGCCTTGATGGATTGTCTTGCTACTTGGTAGCTGGGTAGGTCTTGATGAGACCTCAAAATGATTAGATTTTGGACCCCCTAGCGGCTTGTTATGGTACTGCACCTGAACTTCCGGTTTTGATATCTCATGATCTAGACATGCTATGGTGATGAAATTTGGATGGTAGGTAGCTCTTGTGCTGGGGAAGAAGTGACGTGAGTTTAGGCCCCCTAGCGGCTTGCTCTGAAACTGCAGGGATATATTCTTGAAAATATTCAAAAGGGGATAACTCAAGAACCAGTTGACGGATCGTCGTGGTTTTTGGTATATAGGTAGCTTACGTGATGCTTAATATAATTATGTGACAATTATGCAAATATGGATGTAATTTGCATAATTTATGGGGAAATTCTATAAATCATCTGCATGCCATGATACGACAATTGAAGCTTGCGACATTGGTAATTGACAACGAGAGAAACAAGGGAAGATATTGATTATGTTAATAATGACTTAATTTGCATAATTAATGAGGAAATTTTATAATTATGTAATGATAACTGCCTGGAATTTCATACTTGTGGTATTTGAAAGTTAAATTGAGGTGAACATCATTAAACATAATTTATTCAAATCAGGACCTCATTTGCATAATTTATTAGGAAATGCTTGAATGCATTGTTTGTTAATATAAAACTGTCTTTTGGTTGAGATTATGATAAAATGATATAATTCATGAAAATTAGGTTCCTATTTTTTAAATCGATAATTTGTCAGTCATAAAGATTAACATCATTTGGCGAAGGTATGAGATCGGGGAACTCTAGTTCAAAGATAAGACGAGTAGGTTTCCTCAGTTCAATGAACCTGTGGGCAGGATACGCACGGTTAGGTCGTCCTGTAGTAACCCGTGAGAGACTGACACATGCCCGGCTAGAAGTTTTTACTGTTACGCTGGCGTCTCTTACACTCCCTTTCCACTAAAGGATCACTAGAGCCTGTTACCGGCTATTAAAGCGACCAAACATTGGACACGTCGTTCAAACAAATTTTGCAGAACAGGCGGCGTTAACGTTTTTTTTTCGGGGAGCGACGCGAGTTATGCCGCGGAGGGACGGTTTTGCCCCCGGGGGAGTTTGCCGGGAGAGAGTATTTCACCGCGGAAAAATTCACGCCGTCGCTTAACAACTACAAAGGGGGCTACCCCTTACCATAGAGGTAGATGCCCTAACCATAGTTCGGGCATTTCGGTAGTGTTCAGGAGGCCAATTCGTGAATGTGTGACAGGGGCTTGACTGGAGTTGGGAACCCGCGATCCTGAGACGACCGTGTCAACATGCCTGCAGGACAGCCGATCCTGCCAGGTCTCATTTGGGGAGATGTCGACTGGCTTGTTCAGGCAAGGATCAGTTGAAGCAATGACCTCAGGTGTCCATATTTCTTTTCCCCTCTACTACCGAGCTACATTTGTCTCCTAGTCGACAACAAAGGAAATAATTTGATCCAAGATGTTAAAGTACGTTTCGGAAAACAACGAAACTCACCAAACCTTCTATTAACACTTCCTTATCAATGAAATTCAGTTTAGCGACCATGGAGCGACCTATAGCTAAATTGCTGATGAGATTTTGGTCGTCGCTTGACGCGTGTTGACCTCTGGTAACCTGTGTCCCGGATCTGTGTGGCAAGGATGTAGTATAATGTAGTTCAGTTCACTGTTGTGAAACAGATACTGCCGCTGACCCAAATACTGCGGCCCATCCGTAATCAACAAGGCAGAAAGTAAACCCATGTCTCGACATGAAGGGACTTCATCTCAACATGCACACTGTGACTTTCGCATGAGTCTAGACCCGTCTACAGTGCACGCAGACACACAAACACACAGACACACACACACACACACACACACACACACACACACACACTGGCACACAGACACACACGCACACACACACACACACATTTTCTTTTCAGGATCTGGCCATTATATGGATGACATCCGCGCGCGGATGAATTTTTCGGCGCGGCCGTTTCCAAAAAAAAAAAAAGTATTCAACCATACTGTAAATCGTATAAAACGATTGCAAAACGAGCAAACCTTAAATTACAACAAAATATATTTGAAAACAATACCAATGTCGTAGAATTCGAATGCCAAATCAAACTCATCATCAAAATAAAACTAAAAAGACGAAAATACAATGAAATGAATTTGAAGGGTAAATTATTCGCCAAACCAGACTCTGTGACATTCCTTATGAAAGCAACTTTTTTTGCAAAACTTTCTTTTTAATTCGCACGCTCGCATGAGTTTTTGGGTTCCCAGAGGATGTCATCCATATGATCAAATCAACATGGTCTTATATGGTCGTCACAATAAAAAACCTTGGAACACACACACACGTTTCAACCATGTAAAAATAAACTTTATTTCCGTCTCTCCCGCTCTCACACGTATTAGACTCATTAGCGACTCACATTCGATGCGACATTATAATGGTTAGGAAACTGTTACACAGTTAAATATGTACTATGTACCTCATCAGTTCATCAATAACAACATTGCACAGTTTCGGTATTTTTCCACTACTATGGCCTTTGTTGGCGCTGCTATTTACAAGAAACAGTCGCATAAAATATGAATTTTTCATTGCACTATACTCGTATCAAGAAATTGGTATCATTCATATAAACCTTTGTACAGCATATAAAACGAATCTATATTTAATAAAAAGAGATTTACATTAAGTCAAACACTTTTTTCTATAAATTACACGGGACCAGCGCTATCGTTGATACACAATAATTACATAAAATTGATATAAACAAAAATGTACAAACGTATGGTCAAAACTTACAACGAATCGGAGGCTATTTCGCCTCGGTTCAGGGATGGGTACAGCTGTACATACTTTACAGTTTAACATATTTATAACGTATGTTTTTTTTCCTATAGACTTATACAGATTTCACTGTTTTACATACGAGTTCGAGAGAAATAACTCTACATAACGAGATGTATCATAAACAAGTAAAAACACAGTCGTCTCATTGTTTCATGCACAAATATAAACTCTAGCAGTCTGAAGTTGCGCCCATCTATCTAATTTTTTTCCCTAACGTCTCTCTATTGCCATGTATATATCTCTGTTTCTTTCGTACGGTCTCTCAATTCTATCTACAGTATTTACCTGACTTCATAAGTTGGAATGGCGGTAGTACCCGTCGTTCGCCCCACGCCAGGTTGACTATATCGTATTTACTTTTTGAGTAATTCTGGTAGTGAAGAGTAACCAGAATTAAGAGTAACCTTCTATTTTATATCATACACGAAGTTCGCCATCTATCCATACTGTGTCACAATTCCTGTACATGCATGTTTCCGGGCACTTATTCTGTACACACTGGCCCTGGAAGCTGAATGACGCGACCTCTACAGAGTTGACCTTCGCAGTTTTTCCAAGATGGCGGCGCGCGTTTTTCTCCAGAGGTTGGAGGTGATGCTGTTACTTCTCTGCCGCCGGTCCTTACTGCTGCCGCTGCTGAGCTTTCTCCTTTGCCTTGACGCTAAGACCTAGAGAGAGGGCGAGAATGATGTCGTCTTCAGTTCTTGTTCAAGAAACAATATTCAACTTCTACGCTATATATATTTCGATGGATGGGTGATTTTCTGAATGATTTTATACATGTATGGTCTTCCGAGGAGATTGGTTAAACTGCATTGGTTTACTATTTTTAGACAAAATATTTCATATGATGCAAATTAATTCAACCCACTAGCAAATTGTATTGTCAACACAATTCGCTTGAAGTGTTTTGAATAAAATTTCCAAGGCTCAGATTTGAAAAGAAACGATTTCTGACATAACGAATGTAAATAATGATTTCTAATGATTTCCCCACTTAAAAAGTCTCCCTATATATGCTCCTCTTATGCCCATGTACTTATTTCAGGAACTTGTCTATCCATGCAATTCTATGTCTAAAAGTGGTAGGTTTCTGGATAGTTCAAAAACGTACATTTGCCCTGGGCACGGTTCTGGATAGCCTCTACCAGGCATCGGCAAGCGGCTGCAAAGAGTAGCTTGTAACGACGATTGCCAGAGAGGCGACATTTCAAATGTACTCCTTAGCGGACCAGCTGCCCAATAATGTTATCTGTCTATTTGGTCATTTTCTACCGAGCCTTTGCTGCCGTTTCCGAAGCAGGCTGGGTTCTGGATACGCGTGGACTATCCAAAACATTGTCTCCTGTCCTGAGCATGATTCTGAAGACACGGTTCTAGTTGTAATATAGGCCATGATTATTTGATTATATGGATGACATCCTCTTGAACCCCAGAACTGATGCGCGCGTGCGAGTAAAAAAAGTTTTGCAAAAAAAGTTGCTTTCATCATAAAATCTAGGTGGTCATGAAGGTTGAACAAAGGACACAGAGTATGGGGTGTGGCGAATAATCTACTCTTTAATTTTATTTCTTTACATTTTTGTCTTTTTGATTTGATTTTGGCATTCTACGCCATTGGTATCGTTTTCAATTTTTTTTTGCAATTTACGGTATATATTTGCTCATTTTGCAACAGTTTTGTACGATTTACAGTATTTGAAAAAAAACAATTTTTTTTGGGGGGGGCGAAATTCATGCGCACGCGGATGTCATCCATATAATCAAATCAACATGGCCATATATTGAAGGACCCGTTGCTGACCTGTCTGATGAGCGTGTGGAACACGTGATCCACAGACTCCGTCCCGCTCTCGGACGACACCTCGTAGAACGAGCACCCCACGTCCCACGCCAGCTGCTGCGCCTGCGTGTAGGCCACCTGTCTCAGGTGCTGTAAGTCACTCTTGTGGCCGACCAGAACTGGAAAAACAACAACATTCAAATCCAACGTTAATATCTTGTAAAAGTAAAAAGATGGAACATACATATAGTTTTCAAAACTATAATCTTGCTGCCATAAACATTTAATCAGCTTTGTGAATGAATACTCAACTCAAAAAAAAAATTAGCATTATATCTTAAAAGTTGAAGAGGGTCAACAGTGGATCATGGGCCATCTACACCAGGTCATTGCAGCCATCCCTACATAAAGACGGGGGGAGCCACAGGCTTTCTGCAACCTATGATCCACTGCTCATCGAGTCACGTGTGTAATCTGCATAAGGCGACGTCACAGAAGTGGTGGATTGCTCATTTCTTGGCAATGGAGTTGTACAGTTATACAGAAACTTTGCATAAATCCAATTTCTTGTGTTACAAATTACAGTTCAAACTTGCTTCATAAAATTAGCATTACCGTTGCCTGACCTCTCCGAGACTAAAACCCTGTTTATTTCGTGAGAAAATGCAATGAGAGGCCCATTCACACATTCTAGGAAACCTTTTGTTACAGGTTTGAAATTTACGATTCATGATTTACCACCGTTTACAAACGAGAGTGCCGCCGGCGCTGTTTGAGTAAACAGTTTAGCCTACCATCTGGGGCTTTATAAATCTATATGCATAGTATGCATTGTAAGAGTGGACTGTGTGCATTTGGGGCATCCGTGATATACTACCGGGAGTCATAAAATATCCGTTTGGCAGATATTGCAGGGCCATTTAGTCTAACTGACGCCGAGTGTTAGAATAGCACAGACTTTGGGACACTTATATAACACGAACACCGCGAGTTAGGGTGGAGGGTCCTTTTTAGAATCTATTTGAAGATAAAGCTTGAATAGAAGAAAATGGTTACAGATGGCCATCATACTATATAAGTGAGAACTTCATGCACTTGTGTCATTTAATTAGCCTCTGTACACTTGAAGAAGCCACACAGGCAAAACCGGTCGTGTGACAGGCTGAATAAAAATTCTAAACGGAAACTATACGGCTCCAGGTGTCTTACTGAGGGACAACTGCGTGTGCAAGATGTCGGTAGCTTGAGGAATGAATCCCCTCTACTATATACTAGATGTCCATTATACTATTACACAGGTTTCGTAAGACCGCCTTGGAGTAACTGACCACCAGAAAGTGGCCACAGTGGCCTCAGGCAGAGATGGTCACTAATACAGACTTGAAGATATCGGTTTGTCACGAAAGACGTCACACGTACTATCTCCTCCTGCGTACTTTCAGATTATGTTACTCAAATCCAGACATTCTCAGACGGTTTCACCGCTAATTATTGAGATAAGGAGTCGGGTCAGAAGATGTAGGAAAGGTAACTGGAGGTCAGCGGATTGTGAGAAACTAGGACGCGACTTCCGATCACCCCTGGTAACCTGGAACTGTGCAGCTGCCGTTTCCCAGCAGCTAAACATCGCATCAGCAATGATATAATTCTATAATTGATGTTTTAGGGCTAATTGTTCATCCGGTATACGTGGTGATCTGCACGACCAGATTACTGCAGTTTCAAGGTCTTTGAGCGGTTGAAGACAAGCATGCACCTTTGAAGATGATTGAAAAATATTAAAATTTTGCTGTAACTAGGAGAGACAACCGTTGCTCTAATACTTCCCAATAGTTATGAACCGTTTATTCGTCAATATTCACGTTCTTAAACCATTGCGAAGTGAGATGAAAGTCTCTGATCCCAGACATCTATCTACTTACATTCAAGACCTAAATCGCAGCCAGCTGGCTTCCAGTTGTTTTCTTTCCTTGCAACAAAATATGTTTTGACTAACGGCCGACGTCAGAGAATCACATGTACCTCATTTTGTCTTTATCTTTGACTCTGATTGTGTTTGTATCCCCCATTGCAGCTGCTCCCCTGCTTCAACCCAGTGATACCTCGCACATGGTAGATCGCGTGTCCAGACAGTACAGGGTCATAGCCTGGTATCCAGTCTGATTCGTGGTCGGGGCCGAAAGAGCTCTGTCCCGCCCGCCTCAAATAGGTTTCCCGGTGTGTATTTCACGAGATTGATTAGCCCTCCAAAAATCCCCAAGCATGCTGTCTTTTATTAGCATAACACTCCTACGTATACCGGGACGGCCTGTTGCACTGGGCGGGGGAAGCTATTAGGGCCCCCGAAGACACAACCTGCCTGAACACCCCAATACCCCCAATCACGTAAGACTGGATACCAGGCTAGTACAGGGACAGATATAGGACATCTTTCGGCTCCACACATGACCGGCAACGTGGCTTTCACACATCTAACAAAGTCACTCGTCATTAGGTTTATCTATTTATGAAGCTTTACTGTAACTACATTTGTGGAAGGGTTGACATAACTGAGGTGTCTATCACTTCTTCAAGATGTCAACCCTAGTTGAGACCAGACTGTTAATGTTTGAACAACTCGGGAAGGACCCCTACTCACTTTTCGAGAAGTGCCGTATGATCATCAAGGTGTGGCTCTCCTAAATTATGCGACCTACTCAAATCCTATCCAACAGGACGTCCCTAACCGAAGCTAGGTACTCAGTTATACCTGAGTCAAGTGAGTAGGAAATAGGAGCATCAACCCTAACCACAAGCCGACCTTGTAACCTTATTTTCCTTCGAGTTACATCTGATAAATCTTTTCACACCATCGGCTTTAAGGAGTATCTCTTCCAGTAGATACAGATTCTTCCCCTCTGCAACTTATTACAAGAACACGGTAAAGATGAGTGGCCTTCGCTAGAGAAAAACAAATCTGAGGCCAGGCGGCGACCACGTGTGTACAGGCGTGCGGACGCAGACTGCTCTAGTTTCCACGGCCGTCACACGTTTCTGCCATGTGCGGGGCTTATTTTGGAAACAAGGTTGAGGACAGATTTGTAGCGACGGGGCTCTAGAGTTCAAATACTGTTTAGCTGTGGTGGGGGGTCTGTGAGGATTTTGTTGCGATATGTGTCCAAACACATGACAGGGAGTCACATCACAAATCAGGGATGTATGTATTTTTTCAGTGCAACTGAGGAGGACTTACCAGATAAATACAAACGGGAGGTATACAAATGTCAGAATGATACCGTCTTCTAAAGGGCAGTTTTAATACCTTTACGGTTTACAGGGAACTAAAAATTAGAGGACCTTTCCTAAAGAAATTAGCCAAAAGTCATTACAGTAACTTGTTCTTCTTTTAATGTTAATTTGCGAACAGATTTTTAGTACCCGTAAATGCCCTTGTTATAGTATTATAACGGTGGGGGGAGGGGGGTAGGTGCTACCAACTGACCCGGTCTAGACCTTTTAGCCGAATCGTTAGAGCGTCGGGGTAGTAAGCTCTTGCCCGGGTTCGATCCCCGGCCCGGGATCAGGAGTGTCCATCTGTTTCTACTCTACTAATTCTTACAGTACTTCCGTAGGAAGGCCTGGTGGAGGATATACTTCAAGTTGTTCTTACCTGTAGGAAGGTTGTGGAAGCCCGGTTCCGTGGCGATGATCTCCAGGTAACTCTTGGCGGTGTCGAAGCTTCTCTTGTTGGTGATGGAGTACAGCACCAGCACGCCGTCAGCCTGGAAGATGCTGCTCGGACTGGACACCTGATGGACACAACAAGCAACATTAGCGCCATACCTTCACCTTGTTATGAAGCCTGTGTTATGGAATGCTCTACATGTAGATATGATGTTTTACGTAATAAGCTTAATATACCGGCAATAGCTCAATTGGTAGAATGCTCGCTTTGTAACCGGGAGGTCGTAAGATTCAAACCCCGGTCAGGTCATACCAAAGACTTTACAAATGGTGAATTTTTTCTTTGCTTAGCACTCAGCAAATATGAGAAAGAGTGTGGGAAGGTCAAACACACAAGCACTACCAGCGGACCAGCCCCCTGCTGTAGTGCCTTGCACAACTGTGTGTCGCTCAAGGGCTACAGAGATGGAGATGGGCACCGCCCTACGCTTTGCATAAGGGCACGGGAGACCGTTCTTTCTTTCTTTTCTTTCTTTCTTTCTTTCTTTCTTTCTTTCTTTTTTTCTTTCTTTCTTTCTTTCTTTCTTTCTTTCTTTCTTTCTTTCTTTCTTCTTTCTTTCTTTCTTTCTTTTCCAACCAAATCTGCTTCCACATAAATCACATTGGTAGCGGTGCAGGAATACCTCAAACCAATGTTTCGTATAGCAAATCAAACACCTCTACAACCAAGGGAATTGGTAAGAATGCCTAATATGGACGTTTGTTCAACCGATGTCTCGCCCTGTGCTGTAACGTGTGGCCCACCTCCAGTCAACCGAGACACAAGAATGCGAAGTGCTGCATCTTTAGACGACCTTGCTATATTTGCCCGACATCTTGTTTTCTTTACGCGTGTGATTCTTTACAGATCTTGTCAAGTAGCTGGAGTCACAAGTTGACGGTTGAACAAGTTCGTGTTTACGGAAGTTAAAACACGCCAAACTTTCCACACGTGAAGGTATGTCGGTTTTGTGATGACAGACAAAGACTAACAACCAAAAAACGCGGCCTACTTTTCACATCAATTTGACAGGTGAAGTTAGCTTATTTTCTTTGTGACGTTGCCAAAACTGCTTTGTCTGTAGAACTGAGCTAAAGGTATGAAGAAAGGGAAAAACGTTTATCTAGTTTTGTTGTAAACACTCACACATCTCGTTTTGAAATATTAGAAAAAAAAACATGTGATGCTCATTTCTGTAAACACAAAATTAGATATAGATACAACCCTTATCTTTTATCTTGCAATAAAAACACACCCATGTTCGAAATACTAGAAAAACATGCGATGTGCTAGTGATGACGTACCTGTGACGCAGTGTCGTGAACGACCAATGGGATGAGGTGTCCGTCAACCGCCACCTGGCGTTCGTACAGCAGCTCTGCAGGGACACAGAGGAAAATAAACTTTATTTTCTGCTTGTTATAATTTCTTTCATTTATTTTTTATAAAAGGCGGTACACGATACATACATGCTATTCCACTCATTTGTCTGTAGTAGTAATTTTTTAGATGAAGATTCGAGGAACTTCGTGCTAGATCTGATATAGGGACAGAGAAGTCGTCTAAATATACCGGCACAATCTTTTGTTCGTTGTTTGCCCAATTTTTCCCGCTCAAGGCCCCATTTTCTTTATTCCGATACCCATAAGCCTAAAGGCTAACAATATAGTGTCCAAATACAAGTATAAATTACGCCAATTTTTTTTTCTGAGAGATTTTGGTGAAATTTTCGTCCATTTTCTCACCGCCACTAGAACTATTCCAGATTACATTCCAGTCTAGCCCTGGCCCCCAAGAGGAGCCGTTTAACTTCCTAGTTGGCGAGTTCCAACTTTGAGAACATCAAGCCCAGTGTTAACGGTACGAGGCATCTGTCCTACATTACTAACAAAATTGAAGAAATTTAAACTATTGGAAACCCAGCGGGTCCTGGAAATAACTTCCGGCAGTGTAGTTCTAGGTCGGCTTGAGACGTCAAGGGTCAAAAACATTTATGTAATCAACCGATTCAAATACCCTTGTTGTGAAATCCTACCCCGAAAGGTGAATAATCAACTATGCGAGAAATATCTAATTTGCTATCAATAATTTGGTATATTTTGTGTCTTGACGTGGGTTTAATAATCGACTTGTAAACGCAACGTATTAATAAGTATATCAGATGACAATGAAAACTATTAGAATATTTCTGTATCTGTATCTGTATAGCCGGTATAACCGCCTTTCGCGCCTTTCGGCGTAACACACCAGCATTTCCTTATCTATTCTGCTCGACTCAAAGATTTTTACAATTTAAGATTTTTACAAATGTCGAAGTGGTTTCTCACTCTCATTCTGTAGTATAGTACAGAAAAAATCGAAAAAAAACCGTTTTTTTCTTTTATCATCACAACCATCATAACACCGAGCAGACATTGACCTTGCGCGTCGGAAAACTTCCTTTTTGAAGGTCAGGATCGTTTCCGACACCACGCCGCGATTTTATACAGACCAGGATCGTCTGCCGGTGTCTCCCGAGTACTGCCGGTAATGGAATATGTTACTTCATCAGGACGTCTCCTCCAATTTACACTCCGTACGCCTGACGGGCTCACAAGCCTGGATAGGTAAGGAGAACTTCCGCTACGGCCGACCGAGGCCACGGACACTACTCTAGATCTCCAAGCAGGGGTTTAGGCTTTGGATTATATTTTGACGTGTATCCAATGTGATATCTTTTATTTAAGATTTAACTTAGTACCACTGAATTTTAATATTTTATCAATGTAATATACGTTTCGTGAATCAATGTAATTTTATTGATAGGTGTTGCAACGCAATTTTCCACATTTTATGTTAATTAGCAAAGGTATTTCAGACACCACTTCATGTTATACGTCTGCTATTTGCTAATAAAATCATATCGTAAATCGTTTATCGTATATATCATAGCACCAAAACTGGAAATATTCTGAATGAGGCAATCTTTATGATATTAACACGTACTTCTTCACATCAGCACACTTAAATCAGCATTTCATCATACTTTGGGTATCTAAAACTGCAGAAACAAGCCCCAAGATGAGTCCTTTATTTTATGAGTGGTACCCTAAAAATCAGCCAAGGGCTCTTCCAGTAACCATTTCCCGTTAGAATTTTGGATATTTTTGTTCCATGAGGGTCAATATACATTGGGATAGTGTGGTTTCAACTCAGTATGTAGATAGGTGACTAGAATATTGACTTTGGACAATCAGGTTTTCAAGCCCTAAAAACTGCATTGGATGCCTTAAACGGGCTTTGGACTGATATCTTTAGGGTGGCGTATTGGAAACGCATTAAAATAACGTAACAACTTGACTTCCGAACATCTGGTTGGAGATCGCTAATTGACTTAAGTAAGTCACCGCTGTAGCACACACTGGATCATACTGGATATGGCCATGGCCTCCCGAACTTTAGTCAATCTTGGTTGGTGGTCAGGGGAAGGTTCTGAATGTGTGACTACAGTCTTACTCAGTGTATTTTCACGTGCGTTTGCGGTCAGTCAACTTCCGCGGGACAGACGGGTCAGCGGACGCGCCCAGCGGGGGACGGGGTGGCGCTGACAGCCGGGCGCGAGTCGGTGCCAGGTCTACCTGTCAGCGCGGTGTGTGTAACCCGGGGAGGGGCAGAGTCACCGGGCCACCTCGCCTCGCCTCACATGGAGGTCCGCATGCCCTTTTCCGTAGAGTGCAATCGGCCGTTTCAATTCTACGTAGAGCGTAGATGGACCGCTCTAATTCAACGTGGAGCGTAATTGGCGCATTTTGCGTAGAGCGTATTCACCATTTTACTAAACTTACAGACCAAGAAAAAAACATTCTTCTTTTAACTTCCCGAAACCCACTAATTTTAGAAAAGGTGGGACATTACGCGTCTTCCATGGTCTAAAAAAGAGAAGTCAAATCCCTTAGACATAGTTTAAGACATAGCTATAGCTCTAGACAACTACCTTTTATCATGTAGATTTTAGTTATTTTTATACTACGTTTCATTGTTCTTTTATGTTTGTAATCTGCAATTAGCCCCCCCCCCCGGCATGAATTTGCAATAAACTTCG